CTTTCTGACGACAATAAATGTAAGCGATGAGGTGGCAACAGACAAAACAAAAACTGTGTAAATACACGTACAATGTTTTAAAGGGTTTGTTCAACCAAAAATTTAAATTGTCATCAATTACTCACCCTCATATAATTTCATACCCATAAGACCTTTGTTCATCTTCAGAACACAAATGAGGATATTTTTGATGAAATTCGAGAGCTTTCTTACCCTCCATTGGCAGCATCGCAACTAAAACATTCAAGGTCCAGAACGGTAGAAAGACATTAAAGTAATCCATGTGACTCCTGTGGTTTAACCTCAATTTTATGAAGCAATGCACGTGCTTTGTTTGTGCAAAAAACACATTTTACCGCTTTATTTTCTAAAAATATTGATCTGCCACACACTCTCATAAGAGCATCATGACGCATGTATGTTGTGTTCACGCTAGAGTTACCATTGTAGCATGAACAAGCTTTGAATACTATTTTATTGTAAATAAAGTGGTAAATATTTTTTTGGGACAAACATAGAACTCGTGTTGCTTCCTAAAATTGAGGTTAAACCACAGGAGTCACATGGATTACTTTAATGATGTCTTTCCTACTGACCTTGAATGTTTAAGTTGCGTTGCTGCCAGTGGGGGAACAGAAAGCCCTCGGATTTCATCAAAAATATTTTTGTTTGTGTTCTGAAGATGAACAAAGGTCTTACAGGTGTGGAACGACATGAGAGTGAGTGAGTAATTAATGACAGAATTTTCATTTTTCGGTGAACTATCCGTTTAATAGGCCAAGCCACACTGACCGGTGGATCTGCATTTCCAATCGCAGCAAAATCGTTTCCTCACTCCTACATCTTCCACCCTATGACCCGGACACCGATCGAACTCAGCTGTCTAATGATCTAATGATAGAAATGTAGGGGAAAAAATCAGAAGTCGTTGAAATGTTGGCTCATCTTAATAAGATATGGTTTATATTCTTTATTTAGTACATAAATGCAAAACTTACCCTTCATCAAGTATCAGACTCAGTCAAATGTTTGCCTATAAAAAGAGAAAAACATATGTAAGGGGGAAAAAAACAACTTTAAAGTGGTTCAAATATTGACTTATCTTAAGAAATAGTTTATACTCTTTATTTGGTACAGAAATGCAAAACTCACCCTTCATCCAGTCTCAGACTCACATGCGTGTGCCTGTAAAAAAATTATTCAACTTAAATTTACTTGTAAACAACACACACACAAGCAAAGGCATTTCCTATACAACAGCCTCATAACCCTTTAATAACCTGAGAAATATTAAGATGGATGGTGATCCTCACTGTAATGTGCTCAGCCATAGCCTACAAAGGGAGGTAATGTTAAATGGGAAATTGTTGGTTACTTGCTAATTACAGTTAAGCCCAAAGATGTAAGTTACACAACACTTTTACAGACTTTTTGTTCATGATTAAAATATGACCGATTCATACAACATAATGCATTTGTTTGCATTTACTGTTACCTGTAATCTGTTACCAGTAAGCAATTTGCAATCGTAAAACTAAATTATACGATGATGGCCAATAAAATAACAAATGGCACAGAAAACGAGCTTGTGAGGAACAGATGTAACGTTAGGCCTACAGTGCGTCCAGCTGAATGTAACGTTAAACATGTTGATTGTTCCGCTGACAAAAACGTCTTTCTAAAAAAGTAGTCACAAATGAACAAGGTTAACAATTGTTTGAATCGTGGTCTGTTAAATCATATTAATAAGTTTCATATGTTCATCTAAGTTAGTTTGAATAGAACAAACTGACAAAACTGGTGACAATTAGTTCATGCGTCGCAGAAAACAGCTCGGGCGTCGTCTACCTCAAGTTAACTTATATTATAGTATCCTAGCTTGAACGGTTGAAAAAAAAAATAATAATAATAATAAAAAAATGCTTAACTTTACTCAGTAACGAATACCAACTGAAACGCACGAAGCCTGCCTGACTGGGATAAACTTCCAGTGGGCGCGAAAATGCCACGCCTGCTCAGTAAAGCCAACTGGTAACGTTACCCACTTTAACGGTAAAATACACCTATAATCGCTCAAATTGCCCATCTTAACAATGTTTAACAGGTGGAGATTGGAGAAACAAATGTGTGTCAAATCTCAAACATTACATTACAATCTGCAGGCTTATACAGCACAGCGGCCACCGTATCAGGAATGCAAAACTTGAAAGGTAAACACAGTTCGGAAAACAATGACAGAACATAACAAATTCTGCTCTATTCTGCTAAAATGAACAATAATCTCCCAAAAATGATGTTACACAAGCATTCACTCACCTCATCCACATTGAATATGCCTCTTCGCGCCAGCCCAATGGACAGCTTCCTCAAGTTCGTGAGTTGCTCGTCTGAAATTCCTCCGCGGTTTAGTTAGTTCACTGTATAGTCTGCCCGTGTCTCCTTGTTTGATGTTGCACTGCGATGTCTCAAGTTTCAAACATGAGTCTAATGTCTAGATTTGCTGAATATATATTTTTTTCTTGGAAAGGGCTCTGATATTAAATTCATGTACACAATCCATGTTCAGCGATTTGGCCGGTTAGTGCCAAAAAGCTACAACTTAAAATGTTAAGTTCACTGAACTAAATTGGGCTCTTTGAATTTCAGTAACATTAAACTGACTTTAAAAAAATCAAGTTGAATCGAGTATAACTTATAAAAAAAAAGTTAAAATTGCTTAAATTATTTTGATGAGTTAATGTAACTTAAAAACATAAGTTGTCATGGCTTTTTCATCATATCATTTTTTACAGTGTATGTCCACTGTTGAATGTTGTTACTGGACAAATTAAAAGTGTCTTAACAGATGCATTTCATTCTCTTCATTTCTAGAGAAAGAACATGAGCTTGCTGGTCAGTCTAGCATGGCTGGTTGGTTGGGGGATGATTCTTCTCACAGTTCGGTTTTACTGGATGGGCAACAAGCCTCCAAACTTCTCCAACTCTGACAACCCTGCAGCCGACTCGCCTCACTTCCTGACCAGAGCGCTCACTTTCCTGTACCTGCCAGCTGTCAATGCCTGGCTCCTCCTCTGCCCTGACAAACTCAGCTTTGATTGGTCGATGGATGCCATTTCTCTGCTCAGGTCCATTGCTGATTGGCGGAACCTTCAGTCGGTTTTGTTTTACTCGGGATTCACTCTCCTGTCATGGTTTAGCTTGAGAAACCCATTACTACAGTCCTCTAAAATCAGCGAAACCAATGGAAAATCACATATTAGCAATGGAAAGTCTGCAACTAATGGATACAGTCATAATCACAATGACAATCACTACAGGGACTCAAACTCTTCCAAAAGAAATGGATATCATAAACCACCCAAAGCACCTCAAAAATCCCTTCCAGCCACAGAGAGTGTGGTGGTCTTTTCCCTTGGGTTGCTGATTTTGCCCTTCATACCAGCCACTAATATGTTCTTCTACGTGGGCTTTGTGGTGGCCGAGAGGGTGATGTACATCCCCAGTATGGGCTTCTGCCTGCTCGTGACCGTAGGGTTGAGGAGCATGTTTGTTCGCTGCAGGTCGAGATGCTCCAGAGCGTTCCTGCTGAGCTGTGCTGCAGGTTTGGTGCTCCTCTACAGCCTGAAGACTGTGAGGAGGAACCAGGACTGGCAGAGCGAGGAGATGCTGTACAGGTCTGGCATTGCTGTAAACCCTGCTAAAGGTGAGTTTGGCGAGCTTGAATTTTGCAATATCAGATATGATAGTACTCCCAAAGTAAATACTAGTGAAATTTATTTTGTTTGTTACTCTTAGCTTGGGGTAACCTGGGTAATGTCCTGAAGAACCAGGGAAAGATGGCTGAGGCAGAGAGAGCGTATAGAAATGCTCTTTATTACCGTGGAAATATGGCAGATATGCTCTACAACCTGTGAGTACACAAACACAAGCATGTTTTTTTTTTTTTTTTTTTTTTTACAACTATGCCACAAATGTCTGAATGAGGTTGCATATATATATATAAAAATAAAATAAATGAATAAAAATATCAAACCAACTGGCTTCTGAAAACAAATGATACTAAACCTTTTTTTCAGAATTAACTTCACCTTTTTGAGTCTTTAGCAATGGTGATTTTTGATTAAGGTGATTTTTAGTGGATGTATCACGTTAATCATGAAAATGGTCTTCTAATATTTAACACCCAGAAGGTATCCAGATATAAAAATAAAATGAATAAAAAATTCCAAACGCTTTTTTGCTTGTGGTTGCCATACTAAAAATAAATGTATAAATAAATATAATATGAAATAAAATAAATAATAGTTTGATATGTTTTATTATAGAATGCATTTTCATTCATGCATAATGTTGCATAAAGTGTTCAGATACTTATATTTAATTTGAGTTTGTGGTACTCTATTAATATTTTATTTGTATTTATTTTTGAAGACTGTCAAACTTTATTTTTTATTTTGTGAAAAATGTATTTATACAAAACAAATGCTGCTAAATACTTATTTGGTTTGCACTTAAGTCTTCTTTTGTTTTGTTTTTTGTTTTGTGACCAGAAATAAGCAGTATTTTGCATGGTAGAATGCACAGCTCTCTTTCTTACTGTATTCACAGGACAGTATTTGGGGGTGTTGGTTTTGTCAAGGTCATACAGCACTTTATCTGAGCCAGTTTTCCATGGGAACTGCCATAATCCAATTAACATGGCTTGCAGGGCAACAGACATGAACAGATGTACACAATATGGATATGTGCCATAATATTGCTCATTGCTCAACACTACAGAGCATTTAATTTTTTGAAGGTTGCCTCCAAAATTGCAAAGAATAGTTAAGATACTTTGTACTGGGAGAGTCATACTTAGCATTCAGAAAACAAGAGTGGGAGGTTGAGGAGCAGTGAAAGTGTATCTCTCTCTCAGGGCTTGTGTATGTGACGGGATTTCATTAGTTTCATTATTTGCAGCCTTTAAAAAGCGTGAGACACCTCTAACATTCATTAACCCTGGAGAGGAGCACAGACCTCAGTGTTTCATCACTTTCTGGTCCTTGCACCAACCTCTTACTTCACATATCATTTCTCAAGCTTAAAAGCAATGTGTGCTTTATTTCATGCAGTGGTTTGCTGCTACAGGAGAGCGAGCAATTCTCAGAGGCTCTGCATTACTACAAACTGGCCATCGGGAGCAGACCGACACTGGCCTGTGAGTTCAGCTCTTCAGTTTCACCATTTTGAACCTCCAAAGAGTCTGTTACTGGAATAAATGTCTGTTTTCAGGCTTTAATTTTACAAGTATGTGCAATTTTGGATTTTTCAGTCTCTCTTTTTTTAAATTAGTTCTCCCTTTTGTCCTCTTGCACAGCTGCATACTTGAACGTGGGCATCATCCAAGTCTCGCAGGGGAATATCGAAGAGGCCAAGCGCACCTTTCACACTTGCGCTGACATCCCAGATGAGAACCTGAAGGACCCTCATGCCCACAAGAGCTCCGTCACCAGCTGCTTGTACAACCTCGGCAAACTGCTTCATGAGCAGGGCCAGCACGAGGTATTCATCGAAATCTGCATGCATTATCAGTTTAGATGGATGTAATGATGTTCTTGTATGAATTGTTCCCTGGTTGTTCTTAATTAACAGTTCTCATTGTCACGTTATGACAGGTTGTTTTTGTTTGTCGTCCTCAGGAGGCGCTGTCCATGTATAAAGAGGCTGTGCAAAAAATGCCACAACAGTTTGCACCGCAGAGTTTGTACAATATGATGGGTCAGTGCTTATTTCTCAGTGCACTCAGATGTTTTTATTTGAGATTCAAAAACACTTAAAAGACCAACAATACGCAAGTGCTATGACAAGTCTCGATTAGTCGATTAGTAACACAGTACACGTGGCAAGGTTTTTTTATACTAAATAAAAAAAGTAAGGAGATTGAATAGAATTAGAATAGAGAACTCGTGTTAGAGGGAAAAAACATTTTAATAAAAAAAACAAGTCGAAAGAATAGAAAATTAATAGAGAATGCTAGTGTTAGAGGGTCATTTTTATAATAAATAAAAAGAAAACAAGATAGAATAGAAAAAATTAGAGAATGCTAGTGTTAGGTCCTATTTTTTTAATTAAAAAATATAAATATTATTCTTAGAATAAAAATTGAGTAGAGAATAGAGAGTGCAAGTGTTAGAGGGTCAAGTTTTTTTAATAAGTAAAAATAAAACGAATAGAAATACTAGAATAGAAAAAATGGAGGACACTAGTGTTAGAAGGTCAAATTTCTTTTTAATAAAAAGAAAAGTAGTTATATTAAAAAAAGTGAATAGTAAATAGAGAGTGTAAGTGTTAGAGGGTCAAGTTTTTTTTATAAATAAAAAGAACAATTATATAAAACAGAAATAGAATAGAGAGTGCTAGTGTTAGACAGTCAAGTGTAGATGGAAGAAATGGGTTTTTAGCCATTTCTTGAAGATGGCTAAAGACGGTGTGTTTTTGGAAGCTTGTGCTGCGTATCTGCACTGATCTCTGACTGTTCGACCTGTGGGCTTCTGGCCTGCTGTGCTTGAGTTGTTTTCAATCCTGTGAGCTCCTCTTTCTTTCTTTCTTGTCTGTCAGGTCAGTTTCTGTTGGAAGAGTCTCGTCTGGGAGAGGCAGCAGCGATGGCTCAGAAAGCTGCAGCGCTGGACAGTTCGGAGTTTGACGTGGTGTTCAGTGCTGCTCATATGCTCAGGTGTGTGTGTCTCTCAAAAACTCACAGCTACATCTGCACAATTTTAGTTTCAGGTGGTTTGCAGGTGGGCTCCACTTGTTACATCCACAGCTACTTGCCAAATTGCCATATTGATTTTATATGGTCAAACACTTGTTGTTAATAATAATAATAATGAAAGAGTAATACGATATTTTATGACTAATAAAGTAGTAATAATAACTTAATGTGTGTGTTTGTCCACAGACAGGCCAGTCTGAATGAGGCAGCTGAAAGGTATTATGGGAAGGCAGCTAATTTAAGACCTGATGTAAGTACCTTCTTTAGCCATGTTATAAAGTGACCTGGCAGAATTGATTATTTTACATGCATTAAATATTTAATAACAAAATTCTAATTTTATGATATGCTCTTTAAGATTAAAGCACCATATTCCATCATGCTTGTCACTATTTTAGAATGTTAGTTTTATTTACTTTTCTATTTATTTTTTGAAACCTAATTCTTTGGCCATCTTCATCCTGATTATCTATTTCTGTGTCTCTTTCTTGTTTTCCCAGCATCCAGCAGCTCTGATGAATCTCGGGGCGATCCTCCATCTTAATGGGAAGCTGAAGGAAGCTGAGAGCAACTACCTCCGTGCGCTGCAGCTCAAACCAGACGACCTCATAACTCAGTCCAACCTCCACAAACTCTGGAACGTCATGCAGAAACAGGGTCTACGAGCCTCCGGGACGTGATCTGCTGCTGGGACATCTGCTGATTATTTCTTCTGTGGACGTCTGATATAGTTTGAGCTGGAATGTTGTGCCTATTCAGCGCTTATGGACAGATGTTGGTGGAACCGGTAGAAACTTGAACTAGTCTGCGGGATGAGAGTGAAGATGGAGAAGTTCTGCTTTGGACCGTAAAGACCCCTAAGAGTTTAAAAGAAACATAAGTGCACACAAACACATGAGAGATGGTGTTTGCAGCATGCTGGATTGTATTCTTCTGAGAGCACTGAATTGGATGAATTTGAGTGATTATTTTCCCCCCTGCCCTGACTTACAAATGCACAAGGCTAAACATGTCATCTGTAACTCACACTGTTTTATGTCTCTTATTTTTTTTTAATGACTTTTAAAAAAAGGTTGAAATTGTCAATATGCTGATATTTAAATGCTGCCTCTTAATTTATTGTTGGGGAATCAACGATTTGTCACCTACAAGGTTTGTTAATAGAGCTGTAAACCTCAATGTCTGCCATCACCTCAATTTGTTATGAGGCACTATTATGTAGTCCTACTTTTAATTTCAGGCTTTTTACCAAAACATTTTACCACAATAAAATGTACGTTTGACCAGAAAAAACATAATCATTGAGAGTGTTTGTTGTTAAAAAGAAATATAGCAGTTATCTTAAGCGTTCAACATTGCTCTCTCCTGCCGTAACACAAGCGCGAGACACTTATTGGCTCAGTTCTGTAATAAATGTTTTGCTGCCATCTGTTGGAAGACTAGCATTGCCGTATGAAATGCCTGTTATTAGAATAAATAGATTTTTGCTGCCATCTTGTGGGTGAGCAACACATTGCCACATTCAACGCACAAGCCTATGTACTGTATAATTGCTATAATGAATGAAAGCTTTTTATTTACAGTTTAAGATACTGATTTGTGTGGTTTTACAATTTTTAAACAATAACATTAAAACTGAATGTGCATTTTATAAAATTAAAAAACAATAATTAAAAACAATGCCAGAATGTGTAACAGGGATGCAAATTGATCTTAAATTTGGGAGGTTTGGAATTATAATTTTTAGTTAGATTTTGATAAATTAAATAAGTCATTTTTAAACGTAATTATTATTTTATTAATTGTTTGGTTAACATGATTGAATGGTTTAGGTTAATGATTGCAGTCAACACTATAGTGAAATAGACCACTCTATAGAGATATAATTTGAAGACAGAATAATTACCTGTTTTCACGTTATGCTGTAGAACTGTTTTGCTGGGTGTCAAAAATTAGTAAAGAATCTTATTGTATTTGTTGTAAGCGGAAATCATATGGTAATAGGTCTCAAGTGAGCAGTTATCAGTCTCTGTATCTCAGCAGGTGTTGATGCTGTAAATATCCTGGAGTGCTTCCTCTCTGCAATCTTTCAAGTCTCCTGTATGATGTGCTACTATTTTTTTCCTTTGGCAGGAGTGTGTGTGCATCCTCACTGAAGAGGCTCTACTTAGTGGTGGAAGAGGAGGAGTCCTTTTCAGCACTGATGTCCTTTTGACATACTGTATATGGTGAAAAATTTAAAATGCCTCCTCTGATTTGTCACTCAAGCTCTTTGTTGGTTTCCTCTGTTCTGTCTAATAAGGTAATGATGAACTTGATTGGAAAGTTTTGGGGCTTGTTCTCTTTCTTTAGGGGGCTGACAGGAACCAGTTTCTTCAGTGTGTTTGAGGGAGCAGACGAGAAACTTGTGCTGTGTTGATGAAATAGTGGGTCGAGCAGGAGAAGATGATGGAGAGCGGTCTAATGCTGATCTTTCTGATAAAACTGATCAACGCCGGTAAGTCAGAGGAAAATTATCACATCTCTCACATGTATATGCAATATTTCACTGCAGCTTAATGGTGTCTAACTGCCATATATTGTCTATATTTTGTGTATTTATTAGAGCTGTTATTTTCTTTCTCTTTTTTTTTCTTTCTCTGTCCTCCTGATCCTTTTTTCGGATGTTGGTCTGTTAATTATCTGTTGAACAAATAGATGTGAATGTGAGGTTGGTTGATGGTCACAGTCGCTGTGCTGGTAGAGTGGAGGTTCTTCATAGAGGTCAGTGGGGAACAGTGTGTGATGATAGCTGGGATATGGCTGATGCTGCAGTGGTGTGTAGAGAGCTGGACTGTGGAGAACCTGTGGATGCTCTGTATAACGCTCATTTTGGACCAGGATCAGGACCAATCTGGATGAGTTTTGACCTTTGTAGGGGATCGGAAGCTACATTAAAGAAGTGTGGATCATCACCATGGCATGTTTATGGCTGTGATCATAGCAAAGACCCTGGAGTCATCTGCTCAGGTGAGCTGTTCCATATTCAAATTAAATTGATTTCTTAAGCAGATTTATAATAACCAAACAAGGCTGACCAAAGTGCTGTACATACTGAACATCGAAAATAGCAGAGGACCTAGGACAGATCCTTGTGGCACTCCATATTTTACTGGTGATAATTGAGATGACTCCCCATTTAAATGAACAATGTGGTAGCGATCAGACAGGTAGGATCTAAACCATCTTAAAGCCTGCCCTTGGATACCTGTATAGTTTTGTAATCGATCTATGTAATCGAACCAAATACAAACATAAAACGGATCAAATCTATAGTTCGAACATACACTACCGGTCAAAAGTTTGGGATCAGTAAGACTGTTTTTTTTAAATAAGTCTCCTATGCTCATCAAGGCTGCATTTATTTGATAGAAAATACAGAAGAAAAAAACAGTAATCTTGCAAAATGTTATTACAATATAAAATAAGGGTTTCTGTTTTAATATCCTTTAAATTATAATTTATTTCTGTGATGCAAAGCTGAATTTCCATCAGCCATTACTCCAGTATAAAGTGTCACATGATCTTCAGAAATCATTCTAATATGCTGAATTATTAATGTTGGCAACAGTTGTGCTGCCAAATATTTTTTTGGGGGAAACTGCTATACTTTTTTCAGGATTATTTGATGAATAAAAAAAAAAAAAAAGGACAGCATGTATTCAAAATATAAACCTTTTTTGACAATATAAATCTTTGCTATCACTTCTTAACAATTTAACATCGTTGCTGAATAAAAGTTTTAATTTCTTTAAAAAAAAGAAAAAAAAATTTACTGACCCCAAACTTTTGAACAATAGTGTATATGGTTAGACAAGATTTCTATTTTAAATAAATGCTCTTCTTTTTAACTTTTTATTCATCAAAGAATCCTGAAAAAAAGCATCACAGGCTCCAAACAAATATTAAGCAGCACAACAGTTTCCAGCTCTGATAATAAATCAGCATATTAGAATGATTTCTGAAGGATCAATTCAGCTTTGCATCACAGGAATAAATGAGATTTTAATGTATATTAAAATAGAAAAACATTATTTTACATCATAATATTTCACAATATGAATTTTTTTCCTGTATTTTTTATCAAATAAATGCAGCCTTGATGAGCATAAGAAACTCCTGTAAAAAACATAAAAAATTATTCTGATCCCAAACTTTTGACCGGTAGTGTATATAGAAAAGAAATATCTGTACCTTCTACAACCCCAATTCTAGAGAAGTTGGGACGTTTTGTAAAATGCAATAAAATCAAGAATCTGTGATTTTGTTAATTCTCTTTAACTTTTATTTAATTGACAAATCTCAGTCTTTGCAAGCAAAGCTTGCAGCGATGCTGCCGGGTTCTCTGGGCCAGAGCTCATCTCAGATAGTCAAAAAGACAGTGAAAATGTGTGCTGTACTCAGATGAGTTCACTTCAACTTGTTTCTGGAGAAAATGGATTTTGAGTTCTCAGTCCCAAAGTCCAAAGGGACCATCCAGACTTTCATTAGCAACAGAAGCAAAAGTAAACGTCTGTCATGGTATGGGGGTGGAGCAGAGCAAACAGCATGGGTGACTGGCATATGTGTAAAGGTACTATGGACATGGAGGCATATATTGGGATTGTACAGAGATATATACTTCCATCAAGATGTCTTTCATGGGACATCCATGGTTATTAGATTAAGACAATGCCAGCTCTCATTCTGCATGTGCTACAATACCATGGTTTCATAGAGACAGAGTGGATGTCTCCAATAGAAATTGTATGACCAGTACAAACAATTAGTATCCTCAATTCCCAAACAATGAAACATTGTAATTAAAAGGAAGGTTGATGTGACACAGTGTTAAACATGCCTCTTTCCCAACTTTTTTGGAGTGTGTTGCAGCCATCCAAATTTAAAATTTGTTCATATTTACAAAATACATTTATGTTGGTCTGTGAAAACTTTGGAAATCTTTTCTTTGTACTTTTGTCAATTAAATAAGAGTTAAAGAGAAAGAAAAAATCATAGATTCTTGATTTTATTGCATTTTACAAAATGTCCCAGCTTTTCTGGAATTGGGGTTGTAGAAACATCTAATAGCGCAATAGCTATAAAGTTGCTTCAGAGTAAAAAAAAAAAAAATCTGTAAATCTATTATTGTTGTTGATGTTATTTGTATTAAAAACTATTTAAATTATTTTGTTGTCTTATTTAGAAGTCAGGCTGGTTGGAGGTTCTCGCTGCTCTGGGAGGTTAGAGATACTTCATGATCAAGACGTGGATGTCAGTGTGTGACGCTGCCTTTGACCAGCAGGATGCAGAGGTTGTGTGTAGAGAGCTGGACTGTGGGGCTCCTGTACAGGTGCTGGGAGCAGCTGCTTTTGGCAAAGGAGACGCTCAGATGTGGACACAAGAGATTCAGTGCAGAGGAGATGAGTCTCGGATTCACCTCTGTCCAACATCACCATTACATAAAAACAACTGTTCCAATGAAAACAGTGTTGGACTAGTGTGTGCAGGTTAAAACTATCTACTAACTATCTTCTGAAAGTGAATATATACTGTAAGATCTACAGTGTTCTTCGTTATTATTGGTATCCTTGGTAAATATGAACAAAACATGCAATGGAAAAATTTCTTTGCTCTTTTCTCTTGGTTTTTCCATCAAAATAGTCACAAAAAATGTAAAAACCTTAAAATATTTGAAAGACAAACTCAAATATGTTTGTGCACATTTTATTTAATACTTTGTGCAAAGTCAGATACAGAGGTCCGTGCATGTGGAATCTCTCAGCTTATTCCACAGCAGGGTTGGGTCACAGGACTGGAGTAGCTAAGTCAAAACTTTAATTTTGTGCTTAGTGGATAATCTATCTATCCATCTATCCTCATCATTTGAATTTCCTGTTAGATTTAAACACATCCCAGTTTAAACTGTACAATAAACCCACCTGTTATATTTAATTATCATAAGTAAAAGAAAGAAAAAAAAAACAGTCCCACTGAAAGTCCATATGGCAAACTGTAATCAGTCAATCAGTCTTTTTTTTCTTCTTTTTTTTTGGACTCCAAAACAGGTCGTGGGCATGTAGGTCAAGTCTGATCATAGTTTTAGAGACTTTTAGAGAAACATTGCAATTCCCCAGCTGCAATTTTAGGAGATTTTTTTAGTCACAAATCATCCCTCTTGCTGTGTGTGAGGCCAATATATACGTCCTCTTTCAAGCCAATTGTTAACATCTCAGTTGATCCCTTTTTTTTGCCCCTTTACTACTAATACTACATTCTA